ATATTCTTCCGATCCCCCGGGGGCCGGAGCTTTATTCCGATTACATCTAGATCGGACTCACATCGCGTACCTGGTTATAGTGGGTGAGTCTCATAACAGGTATTTCTGCATATATTGAGGCTCGAACTCGAGACTTCGTTTAAGCAGTACCAAGCTGCTTACCACTTATACCCACCCTTGTTGGTGGCTACTTTGGACTTCTATTAATACTCTTCTGGTGTTTTCTTACTTTGGCTCCTTCGCTTGCTTCTGCCATTTGTCCTTTGGCGGGTAAACATCATCTTGGAAAATCAAAGAACATCCAAAGAAATTCTTCCGATCCGCCAAAAAAACAAGAAACGGGTCATTTGCCTTTTATTTTTAAAAATATAAAAATCGCTTCAAGATGGAGTAACATGGGTTACGTAGAGTGATATGGGTTGTTGGCCCAAAAACCCGAGATAGAGTAATATGGGTTGGCTGTTGGGCCTCCAGGTCACCAAAAAAAATTGGCAAAATACTGGCCTGTTTTGCAGATTGTTTTTTCGCTCATTTCCCCTTCTCATCATCATTGTGTTTGGCTTATCATCATTGATCATAACTTTAACAATTTTTTTGCCTTTGATTATAATTTTAATAATTTATACTTAGTATTTTATATAAGGACAAAACTTAGGTAAAGTCTATTATATTTTTAAAGTTAAGTTCTTTAATCACACTTTCCCATTAGTAAGGTTAATAATGTTAAATTTAAGAAACTAAAAATACACTTTTTAAATTTAAGAGACTAAATTAAAATTTGATGCAAATTAAAAGGACTAAACATATAATTTAACTAATTTTTTATTAGTCTCAGCTTAAATTTAGTTGAACAAGCCTTTTTCTGAGTTGCATTTGATTAAATTTTTATTATGTAATTTGTGATTGATTTTTTTTATACATATCTAATTAAATCATTTACTTAAAAAATATAACACTGAGTTACTAGGTTTTTTTTATAAATATAAATCATTTTGAACTTTTTCAGTGGCTTGACTTTCAAAAGTTGCAATATTAATGTGCATGCTAATTTATAAATTATAATTTTCGTGTCTCAACTCTTATTATGCTGGTAGGGATATCACTAGGAAACAAGAAATGCCAGATTGAATACATCAAATAAAAGGAGGGTCATATGAATTATGTAATTGTCTCATGCATTACACATAATACAAAAAAATAAGCTGCAGTATTTATAATCTTATAACTAATATATTTTACTATAGATTTTGGCATCTTTGTTTAGTTTGGTGGTTAATACTTCACAATTAGGATTACAACAAAAAAGTTAATTAATCAACTTGTGGGCTGATAGAGACTTGCAAACGATGACTAAGGGCTTTAATTTATCATATTAAAAAAATTAGATCAGTTGATAAAAGAAAGTTGGTCCATTTGGTCCATACATTCAAGCATTGTGAAGCAGTTGGTCTCTCAACATGATTAGTATTTCTATTTATGATGTCCAAAACAATTTTACCTTAAAGAATATGGAATCCAATTGCTTTACAGACCCGTCAAGAGAAAACCCCTAGATATATCTTCTCATTAGCGTGGCATTGGTCTAAAATGTTAAATATTCTTTTGATCTCGTCTTATTATTTATAGGGTTTTATAAGGTAGAGTAAAAGTAGTTCTATTTATAAGTCATATCATATAATTCTTTATTTGAATGTGCAATTTTACCATTAATTCATTATTATAGAAACAAGCCATTAAATATAGAGATAAAGTATATGCTCCTTTTGTTCTTATTTACAAGAAATAATTACCACATATGGCTTGCTCCTATTTATAAGACAGACATTTAGATGATATCTCAAATTTTTTATTAATTTTTCATTTTGCCCCTATGTAGTTACTCATTTTTTTTTAGGAATTTAATTACTCATTTTAACATGATACGATTTCAGTATTTCTCTTTCCACCACACATTCTTTCCCTTCCACAATATTTTTTATTCTAATAATTTTCTTATTCTTTCTTATATATACTCTCTCCCTTTCATAAATAAAGGTGTTTTTGAAAAAGAAGTTATAGTTTTTACATATTTTTTCCTCTAATCAAGTTTAACTAACTTTGGTCAAATATTTCTCATAAGAAACAGATAAAATATTAACTAGGAATAAAATTTAAAAAGTATTAAATTTTAATTAAATTTTAAGATACATAGTTAATGAAATTCAAAATTTTTCTTGATACTGTAAAACACGTTACTGTAAAACATATTATAATTTAGTGTCTACAAAACGATCACATCATAGGAATGCAAAGGCAATAAGTCCTTTGATTTGGCCATAATCAATAATAAATCAAACTGTCTAGTGAAAAAATTAACTAAACTGTATGTTCTCATCCTTCTCACCCGCTTTCTGCAGCACGAAGATATTAAAAATGTCAATATTAAAAGTTTGACTTTTTAATAACATCTATTAATTTATTAACATGTGTCTTTTATTAAATTTAACAAGAATAAAAAAATCATTTCCCTTCTCAAAACGTTAATGCTTACTTTATTGCCTTTCTTGTAGTTAACTCTAGCTTTATGAACAAGATAGGGTCTTGGCTATAGTATCAAATCTTACTTTTCACCTCATGAAACATACTACTGCCTCCAATCCTAATTATAAGAATTTATTGGTAAACTACAAATGAGGTCTTATAATTAGAACTAGAGGTAGTGCTTTCTGTTCTTCATATAAAAGTTTGTTTGATTTTTAATTTGGTCCTAAATAGAAGACCTCAACATACGTTAGTTCTCATATTTATTTATTTATTTAAGATAGTCGTTGTAGTAGTTGCACATATTAAATTTTTATCAAATAAGACTTGATTAGCAAAAGTATTTTACGGAAGACAACATCTATTTATTACAAATAATTAATTTAATTAATTTTTTTAATTTACTCAAACTAGTCAACTAGCTTTTAAATTAAGAACCGGATTATTAATAACGACTATAGTTTCTTGGTGCATTAATCTTTGTTTTTTCTGTTCACAAAACTTGATATTGGCCCCTTTAGATTGATAGTAACATATTAATATATTACTATCATATAGATGATATCTTAATATTGGTTGGTGTGACAGTAGAGAAACGTTGTTTAGCGGTCTAAAAATGGCCTAGCAAATTAGGACATGTTGTTATATTCTATCTTAACTTTCGTTTTCTTTTTAAAAGCCGCCATACTTAATTAGGTTCATGAGTTTGAATACTGTGAATTACTATGTAGTATTCTTCTTGGTCAATGATGATCTATGTATATGAAAATTGATTTAATAACAATGGAAGACTATTCACGCTAGCTGCAGATATTATAGAAAATATTTGCCGTGCCTACCATATATCAAAAACCGGCCCTTTGTTTTCTTATTTAATAAAATGGAACTAGCTGACTTCGGCTTCTTCATCAATAAGGATACATAGCAAAATGATGTTCACCATTTCTTTAAGAGAAAAGCATGGAAAAAATGAGATAAATATGGATTCCAATTTTTATTAAATCATGTCTATATTAAACTATTCATAAAAACATTCTTTTTCATTTCATCTATATATGCCAAGAGATAGGCCTATTTATAAGGGACTTTATGAATGTAATCTCATATGGCATGTTCATCTTTATGGAGAGCATGGAATTTGGTTTTTTTACTTGTAGTGTAATGGCATCATGGAATGTTCATTTATTCTTACCATACAAAAATTGAGATTTCTAATTAAGATATATGTAATACTCCTTCAGTTTCTTATTATAAGAAACAATTATCAAAATCATGTGACTTAAAATACCAATTAAATTTAGTTAAAAGCAATAAAAATTAATGTGTAAGATGTTTACATATATATTTTTCTAATTATATCTTTATTTGTAAAAAGAATACGTGAAAGATAATGAATAGAAATTTATTATAAAGAGATAATAAGTTAAAAGACAAGTCTAAAATTTTAGATAAGAGAAATTGTTTCTTATATCGTTATATTTAGGGTGTGTTTGGATGAAACCAAACCGTGGTTTAAAAAAGTGATTCTGGAGAATAGATTTTGGAAAGAATAGATTTTATGAAAAAGTGATTTTGAGAAGTGAGAGTGTTTAGATAGTTGTTATCAGAAGCACTTTTTATATATACAAATTACTAAAAAAAAGAAATAAGTTAATATGATAATTACAGAAAAAATAGATTTTATGATATATTTTAATTTAGAGGAATAAAGTTGTTAATAATATATTTTTTATTAACATAATTAATAATACATAAGATAATATAATTAATAAATAATTAATATGTATATATATTTATAAAATATAAGATTAAATATGTTTATAAAAAATATGTTTATAAAAAAAATAACAAGATACATATCCTATAGGCTCTCACACTCTCCCTTTTTTCTCCAAAAGCAAAAAATTTTTGCTTTTTCCAAAACCATGGTTTGGCCCAAAACCATGGTTTTGGTTTTTGAGGGGGTGTTTGGATAGCATTTTGTGCAAACCATGGTTTGAGCTTCCAAACCATAGTTTGCAAGTGCATCCAAACGGTGCCTTAGAGACACTGCGATGAGAGAGGACGTTTCTTATAAAAAGGGGAGGGTAAATTATTAATAATTAATTATTTTTTTAATTATTTATAGCTAAAGGACAAAAGAAAATTCTTATATGAAAAAACAACCTCTTATTTTCTTCTGTTTCGTATGTACGTACCACGAAGTTACCATTTCATAATCACTTCCTTGAGAGTGAAGCTTTTTGAGATATATTTTACATATCCAACCCTAGTTTTCAAAACTTGATTGCATCAGCTTGGTGGTTAACTTCTCGTTCTCTTCTTCAGCATATAAAGCTATATATATTACAATATTCCTATTAAAACTTGCCTTGTTTCATATATAGGAATACAAAAATCAACAACTTGTAAATTAAAGCACGTCTTTCTTCTCCTATCTAGCTAGCCAGAGCTTCCACAGAAAATATTACAGATCATCGATGACAAAGCCGGGCGCGCTTTTTCCAAGTTCATCATCTAAGTTCGGAATCGATCAGAGAGGAGGCTCACGGCAGTCTCAGGTGATCGCAAAACTGAAGCCAAAGATCAGAGTAATTCACGTGGATGCACCGAAAATAATACAAACTGATGCGGCAAATTTCAGAGACCTTGTTCAGAGATTGACCGGCAAGCCTGGATATAACCGGAGGACTGTGGAAAAACAAGAAGAAGGAGAGGACTTTCTGGGTCTGCGAAATGGCAAGAGGATCAAGAATGAAGAAGAAGAAGAAGAAGATGATGATGATGAGATATCGAGGAGGTTAAAGTCAAACAAGGAGATCAGGTTGGGTGGTTTCTTTGATCATCGTCGTCATCATGCTGGGTTCTCTGAAGTGGATGGCTTTATGGAACAGTTAAGTGCTATGAACTAATAATTAAGGCCTTCTTTTACGCTGTATTATTATCAATTCTCATCTCTTTAATTTATCTCATCTCCTTGGTTTGTAAATATATGTAAATAAGAACCGGTGCTTCTTCGATCCACTTCAGATACGACTCTTAGCTTTCTTTATTTTGAATCAAGTTTGTTTTGTTTTGACTTTAACATATAATTGGATCCTTTTAATGATCCAGTGGATTTGTTATAACTATACACACACACAAAACAAATTAAACTTATGAAACATGATCTTGTAGGTATAAAACCTATTCTCGACCATATATACTTCGTATATTGATGTCTCATATGATGTCTTTTTAAAGCATTCGGCCAAAATCATGCTTGAACATAAGAGGCCTGGGGCTCATTTTCCAGCAGCGATCGGTCCCATCAAAAGCTTGCATAAATTGATCACCCTATAAATTTAATTATTCAATCGCATCACGCATGTATCAACAAATTAAACTATTGAATATAAATGTAATACTCCTCCGGTCCTAATTATAAGACCCAATTGACTTATTTGAGGAGATTAAGGAAGTAAGTTAAGTTGGTTATTTATAATAAATAAGTGTTGTCATTCATAAAATATCCTTGCTAATTAAGTATATTGGCTAAAACTATCATTATTAGAAGGATTATCTTGGAAAAAAATGCATAAATATAAGAGACAAAATGGATTTGGGTCTTATAATTAGAACCAAATAAAAAGTCAAATGGGGTCTTATAATAAGGACCGGAGGAGTATTTCTTAAAGCAATATATAATAAAAACATTCACATCATAACGGCGTATTTACCCCGAAATCTCTAATCTCAGCCCAGAAAAAGACATCATCCCTAACGCACAGACACACACACACGCAATATGATAATAATATTCCATTCCCATGTCATCTAATTTTCTATCTTTTGAAGAAAGAGCAAATTATTCTAAAACTGGAGATATAGAACCAGGTTACTTGGCATTATTAGTCATTATTTTAACTTGTTTTATATTTCTTTTAATGAAAAGAATGTATAGTCGATGTTTTATATTTAGTCAAACTCGACATATTGTTAATGATGTAGGCATATTTCAGATTTCAATAATTACAACCTTAGGAATGCGATGCCCTAAAACAAGACCTAGAATATGCAAACAATTTTGGGCAAGTTCTGAACCTATTTATATAGCGATTGGTGATGAGATTTAGCTACAGAATTTTCATTACTAAGAAGTTTAGCGACAAAATTTCGTTACTAATTACTATTCCTCTGATCCTAAACATAGGACTCATTTTGTAGTGTAAATTGGTACAAATTACAGCAATTTATACTACAAAATAGGCCATATATTTAGGACCAGAGGATTATTAATTAGTTACAGTTTTTTCTACAATGGAATTTGCAAATTCCTTCACTAACAGTATAGCTAGACCTATACTGCTTTGTTTGATTCTTAGTAAATTTAATCCTATTTGTAACCCAATTAAACTTAATATTATATCCTAACCCAGTCCCTACACATTCCTAACTCATGGATACTCATTTAAGTCTTGGAAAGTAAAAACCGGGGTAGACAGGTTTTCAGCTGAAGTTGTAAAATATACAATTTGAAAACATAGGAGAGCCAATGCCATCATGGCCACTTGTGACTTTAAATTGTAAGTTATAATATTTTTTGTAAAAAATAGAATGCAACTAGTTATTTAGCCGTGTACATTAACGTGCAAGTCGCAAAGAATTTAATTTCAATTTCATTGTCGACAAGATTATTGTAGATTCTATTAAATTAAAATACTTGAGCGAGCAGATGATATCACTTCAAAATAGTAATGCACTTTTATTTTCATCATAAAAAAGTAATGCACTTTTATTCTTTAATTTGATGATAAATTATACGAGTATTTGTTTTAATGTAATTATATGTGTGTGTACATGTTGGAGGAAAACGCAAATTGCAAATTCAATTTACAAAGAAATATTATCAATCAACAAAGAAGGCATCAGATGCGAGCAGCTACCTTTTGCCTTTTCCCTTTCCCATTCCTTTATTTTCAAATCCAGAAAAATTAAATATTTATAAGTAACAAAAGTGGCTTTTTCAAAAAAAAAAATTTACCCCATATTTTAACCACTTTTACCTTCTCACCCGTTAAGGAAAGCCATGCATGAAACAAATTTAATTATACGATGGATTTCATTTTTCAAAACCACGAGGACGTATCTTTGCACGGGAGAGCAAGGTTTCTTCTTGCGATGCCTTAATGATAAATTTAATCTATAAAATTAATTATAATTTGTAATTATAATTTTTCAAAAATTTTCAATGCAATAATATAAGAGAAAAATTTAGGTCAGGATGCTTGTATCTAGTATATCAAACCTCCGATCACATATAATCATGTGTCTTTTTTTGTTTTATATAGATTTATAATTAAATGTAACATATGGTTGATATAATAAATATAAGTAATTTGATGTAAGTATTGTCCATAATATAATGGGTTAATTAATCCGCAAGTCCTTGTAGTTTCAACCAATTTTGAATTAGGTCTTTATAGTTTTTTTTCTTTTTATCAGGTTCTTATACTTTCATTTGTTTTTAATTAAGTCCTTGCATTTATTTTTCTTTTTATTAAGTCCTTATAATTTCACTAAATTTTTAATCAGGTCCATCTAGTTTTAATTTTTATTTATTAATTAAATATAAAATTAATTAAATAAATTAATACTGAAATATAAAATATTAATAATTATATAATAAAAGATAAGTAATATAATTAATTAATTCAGGAAAAATTTTTACAACAATTAATTTTTTTGCAAAAAAATTATTATAATGATTTATTATTTTTAAAATATTATTGTTTATAAACTAATATTAAATAATAAATATTATTTTATGTTTATAGAGTAGTACTATTAGAATTTATCAAATAAAGAATAAAAAATTTAGGGACTTAATTAAAAATAAGGTAAACTTATAAGGACTTGATAAAAAGAAAAATAAATGCAAGGATTTAATTAAAAACAGGTAAAAATATAAGGACATGATAAAAAGAAAAAAATTATAGGGACCTGATTCAAAATTTATTGAAACTATAAGGACTTTCAGATTAATTATCCCTAATATAATTATATAGACTTGCTTAGAATGACTTAAATTTTTTTTAATTATAATTTATAAAATATAAAATAAATATGTGTGAAAAGAGTTTTATTTTAATTTACGTATATTGATTAAAAAAAACGCTTGTTACTACTCCATTGCATCCACGACCCACGTGTGGTTGTATAATTTGGAACATTTGATTTGACCCACCGATCATGCGGCAGGTCAGGAATTGGATGCCATGCCATGCCATGTTTAGGTGCGCCGGGCCTCAACCTAACCGTCCTTTTTGTTATTGCAGACATTTTAGAAAGTCAATTGCTAAAGAAGACCACAAAGATGCTTAGGGGTCAACTTTAAACCGCTCTCTTCCTCTCTTACTTTTTGATTTTGCTTTTGAAATGTATTCTTAGCCTTATAACATTAAAAAGACTCAAAGGTTAGAAATATACTATCTCCTCTCTTTAATATAAAAATTAATTTAACGTTCTATTTAGTTATAAATATATGATCTCAATCTATTTTATTTTATTTATTCATTATTTTTTAGACAGTCCTTGCAGTAGTTGTACACATGTTAAATGTTTTATCAAATGATAGTTCTAATTAATACATATGATTAAAAAATATATTTTATAGGATACAACACTTATTTGTTATAAATAATTAACTTAACTAATTTTTTTATATTAAGAACTGGGGTAGGATAATTTAAGTTGGCGAAACATATATAATGTCGTATATTCCTCTCTCATTCTTATTAGAAGGCATTTCTATCTAACCCTCACATAATTAGAAGTGGACTTGTTTGGAATGATAATCGGAATTTTAAAAATGACTTTTCAATTATAATTTAGAAAATTCAAAAAACGTGTGGAAAGTTTTATCTTAATTTATGTAAAAATATTTATAAACAACTTTAAACAATATTTTTTTATATACTTTAAATTCTTTACATTATCTTTTTAGTTAATTTTAATAGAATAATTTTTAAGGATCGATGGCAATATTCTTTCGTATTATTATCATTATTTTATTATAAAATATAACTGATTATTATAACTTAATTGTCTTATTTTCTTTAATTAAAAATTTTCATTGCTTCTAGTTGACCAAAAATAGTTTCATTATTAATTTCTTTTTCTTTGTACAGTGAAAATTCGAACCCTTTACGGCTTTACCTCTACATACTATCTCCGATTCTTAATATAAGATTTTTTTTAACTTTTATTTTAGTCCTAAATATAAGACCTCAATCCAGTTTGTCTTTTATATTTATGCATTTTTTTCCTAATATAGTCTTTTTAATAATGGTAATTTTAGCTAATACACTTGATTAGTAAGGATATTTTAGGAAAGATAATATCTATTTATTACAAATAACTAACTTAACTTCTTTTTTTAATTTCTTTAAATTAATTAACTAGTTCTTATAATTAGGATCGGAGGGCAGTACATTTTAACATTTTAGCAGTTGAACTCTTGCGTCGTAAACAGGTGAATAGCATGTTCTTAGAAAAGGTTCATTACTTTTCCTCCGGGCCCCAAAAAAGAAATTAAAATGTCAAAATGAAAATAATCGTAGTTTTTTCTTCACAGACCACAGCCTCAGCGACAAATAATCGCAGTCACGGTCGCATTCGCATCACACGCTCTTATTGTACTCTTCATTCTGAGTAGTCGTAGCTGATCCCACATCTCTCGCACTAGTTACTTCTCTGACTTTTACTCTCTGCGTTCTTCTTTTCTATTTTTCGTTCAAACCCCTTATTTTCCATTCCCAGAATCCTGGTATGTGATGCTTATTTTTCGCTCTGATTTCATCTTTTATTCTCATTTATCAGTCTTCGATCATTTCTCTCTTTTCTAGTTATCTCCTTTTCTTTGGGTTTCGGTATTTGATCTGATCTCATGCTTATTGAAGTTTCGCTTCTAAAGAAATATCAAGTTTTTGTTACATTCATGATCTGTTCTCATTTTTTATGGTTGAGCTGAACTTCTTGTTATGTGCTTTTCTATATTGATTCCCTATGCTTTGTTAATGCTCGAAGAGTTGTTGTAGGTTGTCGCGGTTATAGATGGCTTTCTTCAGAAGTGTTTCTGCACTTTCGAAGCTTCGCTCTCGCGTGGTGAGTGTGAAACGGCGGAGCCTTGAAATTCGATTGAGTTGAATTTTATTAATTTTTTCATGCTTTTGTCTGGGTTCATTTGCTGTATGATTTGCATATGAGACTAATTTCTGTCGAAAAAACATTCTTGTAATTTCAGGGCCAACAATCTAGCATCGCCAGTTCAATTCGATTGCTTCAAACTCAGAGCTCTAGTAACCTTGTAATCTCTCTCTCTCTCTCTCGCTCTCTCTCTCTGTGTGGTGTCTTCGGTACTTGAAGTTGACGACATGTACTGGGATAGATTTATTGGGAACATCATGCATATTCTAGGAACGATATTTTGAAATTGTTCGGAATTGGCTCTAGACTATTTAAATTCTATTTTCTGACTTCGTTGATATTTTCATGTATGGTAATTATGGGGCTCTGAGACTTGACATTGAGCCTTTGAGCCGCAGCTATTTGTTCTTGACTTCTGAAACACTCGAAGAATATTCTTATTTTCTGTTAAACGTGTTTATATGTTGCCTTATCTAACGAGTGTTGTTAGTTCAATATTCCTGATGTAAGAATTAAGAAATTTTCCTAGTTTGACATACAATGCTGGATGAAGTTGTTCTCTGGAACTACGTCTACATCCGCTTCTGCTCATACTAGTTATCTTCTATCATGTAGGATCTGTATTCTGAGTTGAAGGAGCTGATTCCCGAGCAACAGGTTTGTGGCATTTCGTATCTTTGATTTTGTGTTGGACAGCTTAATGCATAACTTATGCTTCTTGCTTCTTGTTTAAATCTGAGTGTTTCACTCCATTGTATTATTTCATATAAGATCATTACAATATATAGGGTCCGGACAGTGATAATAATCCGGCTAGAATCAAAAAACAATCACTACAATTAATGACAGCATACAATCAGGGATATTATTCTCATGCTTAATGATAGGCAAGAATCATGGGCTTTCTAACACTCCCCCTCAAGCTGGAGAGTAGATGTCAACCATCCCCAGCTTGCTTCGAAGCCCTTCAAACTTGACTCTGGCTAAAGGTTTGGTCATGATGTCAGCAATCTGATCAATCGAACGCACATAGCTTAAGTTGATGATACCACCTTCTACCTTTTCTTTGATAAAATGCCGATCAATATCGACATGTTTTGTTCGGTCATGATACACTGGATTCTTTGTCATTTCAATACTGGCTTGGTTGTCACACCAGAGGTTCACTGGTCCTTCATAGGGAATTCTCAATTCCTTCAGGAGTCTAATCACCCACATTCCTTCACACACCCCTAGAGCTACAGCTCTTAGTTCAGCTTCAGCACTGCTTCTTGAGACTACGGTCTGTTTCTTGCTTCGCCAAGTCACAAGATTTCCCCAAACATAGGTGCAGTAACCTGTGACAGATCTCCTGTTATCTACAGCTCTCCCATGGTCTGCATCAGTATAGACTTCTATGTTTCTTGTATTCCCCTTTTTAAAAAATATTCCCCTTCCAGGATTGAGTTTAAGATAGGAAAGGATTCCGTACACAGCCTCCATATGTTCTTCCTGAGGTTGGTGCATAAATTGGCTTACCACCCCAACTGCATAACTAATGTCAGGTCGTGTATGGGTCAAGTAGATCAGTTTACCCACAAGTTTTCTGTATCTTTCTGAGTTAACCGGTATCCCTTCTGGTTTAACCTCCAGATTGCATGACTCTTCCATAGGTGTTCCATTCGGCTTAGCCCCAAGTGTCCCTGTTTCATGGAGTAAATCAAGTGTGTATTTCCGTTGTGACACACTTATACCCTTTTTGGACCTAGCAACCTCCATTCCGAGAAAGTACCTCATTTGACCTAGGTCCTTCACTTGGAATTCTCTAGCTAGGGCTTTCTTGAGTTGAGAGATCGAAGCTTCATCATCACCAGTTATGACTATATCATCCACATACACAATTAGGATCGTTACCTTTCCATCATTGTGTTTGACAAAAAGAGTGTGATCAGCTTGTCCTTGGTTGTAACCAAACCTTTTGATTGCTTTGGCAAACCTGTCAAACCATGCCCGTGGAGACTGTTTCAGGCCATATAATGACTTCTTCAGTTTGCAAACTGAATTAGGTGGAGCTATTACTCCATCTGGAACTTCCATGTATACTTCCTCCTCTAAGTCTCCATTTAGGAAAGCATTCTTTACATCCAGTTGATGTAGGGACCAGTCAAGATTAGCAGCTAGGGATAAGAGTACTTGGATGGTATTGAACTTTGCCACGGGAGCAAACGTTTCTTGATAATCAATCCCATAAGTTTGAGTGTACCCTTTTGCAACTAATCTCCCTTTGTACTTGTTGATGCTTCCGTCAGGGTTGAATTTCGGTGTGAAGATCCACCTGCAACCTACTGCTTTCTTGTCCTTAGGAAGTGTGGTTATATCCCACGTGTTATTCTCCTTCAGGGCTTTCAACTCTTCATATGCTGCATGTTTCCAGTTAGGATCTTTCATGGCCTGTTGAAATGTTTCTGGAATTTTCACCTGTGAGCTATTCACCACAAAGGTTTGCATTCTAGCAGATAGATTGCCATAAGAGACAAATCGTTGTATAGGATGCTGAGTACAAGACCTTACCCCCTTTCTAAGTGCAATAGGCCATCCTAGTTCTTCAGGATCCAACTCCGGATTGGAATCATGTTGCTGCCTTGGAATGGAAGGAACCCCACTACTACTGTCTTGTTCACTTGAGTGAGATCTTGAGTGCTCTGTCACCCCTGCATCAATTTCAGCATTTGTTTCCATTGTGTGAGTATTGTTTGTGGGGGTTTTGGGCTGTTCTGGTTGAGATGTAGGTTTAGGGGTTTCTGGTTCAGGTTCAGGGATTTCTTCGTGCGGTGTATAGAGTTCTGGAGGATTAGGAGGTGCGTTGGTCTCAGGTTCAGGGGTAATTAGCCATTCTACTCCACAATTCTCCCCCTGAATGGGTAATTTGGGATAGTATGCATCATCTTCATAGAAAACTGTGTCTTTGGAGATTATGAGTTTTCTGGTAGAGGGACAGTAACACTTATAGCCTTTGTGGGTTGAGGAATACCCAAGAAAGAAACATTTTTCGGCTCTAGCACCTAGTTTTCCCCCATCATGTTTATGGACAAAGACCACACACCCAAAGACCTTTTGTGGGATGGTATTGATGATAGGTGAGGCAGGGTAGGTCTCAAGGAGTTTTTGAATAGGGGTTTGGAAGTTGAGGACTTTGGAGGCCATTCTGTTAATAAGATAGGCTGCAGTTAGTACTGCATCTCCCCAAAACAGGCTTGGAACATTTCTTTCCATCATAATGGCTCGGGTTACTTCCAAAAGGTGTCTATTTTTCCGCTCGGCAACGCCATTTTGTTGTGGGGTATAGACACACGAGGTTTGGTGATGGATTCCCTGTTGCTCAAGAAATTCCCTAAAGGCTCCACTCACATACTCTTTGGCATTGTCACTCCTCAGTACTTTGATGGGAGTTTGGAATTGGGTTTTCACAAAGGCATAAAAGTTTTTGAAAATTTGTAAGGCTTCGGATTTCTCTTTCATAAGATAAACCCATGTAACCCGTGTGTGATCATCGATGAATGTGATAAACCACCTTGTGCCTGTTCGGGTTTTGGTTTTGGCAGGTCCCCAAATGTCGGTGTGGATCAATGCAAAAGGGTTAGTGGGTTTGTAAGTATGCTTGGGAAAAGATGTGCGAGTTTGTTTGGCAATTTGACAAGTTTCACATTGGAAAGGAGAAGAATTTTTATTGAATAATGTTGGAAACACATGCTTCATATAATCAAAACTGGGGTGGCCTAATCTTTGATGCCACAACATTACATTTTTATTTTGAGAATTGGAGCTAACCATAGCCTTCCTTGCTCCTTTTGTCTTCATGTCCTTTCCTTCAAAGTAGTAGAGTCCATCCCATTCCTTAGCAGTCAAAATCTTCCTCCCCGAGATCGAATCCTGAAAAACACAGTTAACATCATCAAAGATCACCCGACATACTTGTCCTTTAGTCAGTTTGCTGACAGATATAAGATTGCAAGTGAGAGCAGGAACAAACAAAACATTATGAATTTCCAAGTCATCAGAGAGGGCCACAGTGCCAACACCTTCAACTTTAGTATATAGTCCAGTTGCCACTTTTACTCGGAGGTTCTCATGGCAATATTTGAGAGTTTTGAAGAGGGATTTATTACCAGTCATGTGGTCTGTAGCACCAGAGTCGACAATCCATGTTTCATCACTAGTGACCATTGCATTAAGAGCAATAATAGAATTACCTGACTGAATCAAGTTCACATTGGGAACCTTTTTTGATGAGTTTTGCCTTTCGAGCACCTTTCGGAGCAGTTGAAGTTCTTCTTTGGTTAAGCGATCTCCATCATCACCTCTTTCTTCGGAGGAGGTGTGGTGGCTTTTTCCATCTCGACGCTGTTGCTGTTTCCCATGGGTTGGTTTTCCATGCAGTTTCCAGCATTCATCTCTGGTGTGGCCTTTCTTGTTACAGTGATTGCACCACTTGTTCCCTTTTCTTTCAAAGCTCTCTGATGTCTGGGGTCCCCTTGTGACTAAAGCTGAGGCATCAACTGGAGTTTGGTTACCCTGAGTGAGGTGTCTCCGACTTTCTTCAAACTTAACCATACTGAAGACTTCAAATAGGGATGGAAGGGGCTTTAGACCCATAATTCTGCCTCTTACTTCTTCAAAAGCATCATTCAAACCCAACAGAAAATCATATGTTCGTCCCTTTTCAACTAGTTGTCTGTAGTAATTAGCATCATCAATATTCTTCCAAGGATGTACTTCAAAGAGATCCAATTGCTGCCATATCTTTGTCAGAGTACTGTAGTACTGTGTTATAGTCAAGTTTCCTTGCTTCAGTTCTTTGAGTTGCCTCCTTAGGTCCAACAAAGCAGCAGCGTTGTCCAAGGTAGAGTAAGTGCGCTTAGCAGCATCCCAAATTTCCTTGGCTGTGCTTGCAAGAAGGTATCCCTCACTGATTTCAAGAGTCATTGAGTTACATAGCCAAGACATCACCTGATTATTTTCAGCGAACCAGGTGTCAAAAATGGGATCGTTGTATGCCGGTTGTCTTGCTTCTCCATTAATATATTTCTCCTTACGCTTCCCACGTAGATACATCAATACACTCTGGGACCATTGGAGGTAGTTGTTGCCATTTAGTTTGTGAGCCACCATCATAGGTTGCTGTTCAGTGACTGTTGTCAAATCTGGCATTGGATCAGAAGTTTTGGAGGGGGCTACTGGTGAAGGAGTACCTTGAGTATTTGAGGATGTGCCAGACATAAAAACCATTGGAATGGTGCCTTTTTCGACAGGCATATTGTGAACGGACCCAAAAAGTGGTGGAAAGTCTTGTGGATTCATCTTCTGGACGAAGTACTGTACTGGGACGGATCTGGCGACGGCGCGTGGACTTCACGCGCGGCGGCTTGTGACGGCGCGTGGACTTCACGCGCAGAGGCTTGTGACGGCGCGTGAGCTTCACGCGTTGCTCCGTTGGACGCCGGCTTCTGGGGACGCGCCGATCGGAGGATTCCGGTGAGGATTGGAGGGGTGGTGTCGGTCACGTCCTTCTCTGGCCTTCAGATCTGAGGACGCCGGCGGTTCTCTCTCTCTCCCTCACTCTCTCTCCTCGCTCTCTCTCTGTTTACGGCAGGGGTTCAGGACGGTTCCAACCCCAGTGCTCTGATACCATGTTTAAATCTGAGTGTTTCACTCCATTGTATTATTTCATATAAGATCATTACAATATATAGGGTCCGGACAGTGATAATAATCCGGCTAGAATCAAAAAACAATCACTACAATTAATGACAGCATACAATCAGGGATATTATTCTCATGCTTAATGATAGGCAAGAATCATGGGCTTTCTAACACTTCTTTCCTTTCTGCTTACTTATAGGCCTGATTTTTGTATGCCTTTTAAGTGTGATCTATCTTTCTGACATATGATGCCTATATATATCAAGTAGGAGATCTTTATATTTTGTTTGGTTGAGTTATTATTTAATTGAAAGCGCGTACTAGGTGCTGGTATATTATATTCTTGCTTGTGCTCTTACGAACATGTTGCTATTTCTGCAATTTGCGTTCTATTCTAAGTTAGTTGTTCAGTATTATACGTAGTTTGTGATCCCCTGTGATGATTAATTGTTGAGAAGAGTAAGATGTGCGTATGTGCTTTGACTTTTTGTGCTTAGTTTGTTGAACTTTCGTTGACATCTTGACTTTGGAATATGTCGGAACTCGATTCTGATCTCTGTCAATATATATTTATATTTATGTTCTGGTTTCAGGAACGTGTTAAAAAGCTGAAAAAAGACTATGGACAGGTTGAATTGGGCAAGACCACCGTTGATATGGTAAATTTTTGTTTTTCTCCCTCATAGATGTGAAGTTCCAAATTGATAACAATATTTTATTATTCCACTTTCCTCGTCTCTGTTTGTGAACAAGTAGATTGTTTGGAGAAACAGATCTAATCTGTTTGTGTCCATTGTCACCATTGAAAGGTTATTGGCGGAATGAGAGGAATGACAGCTTTGTTGTGGCTAGGCTCATCTGTTGATCCGGAGGAGGTATGCGTCTAATAATATCCAGCTTTTTGATGAATTATTTAACTTCCTACTGACTAGTTGATAAAATTCTGGACTTGCTATTTTTTATTAAATGGACTTTTGAGGTCAGGTTGCTTCTGTTTTCTAGGGAATTCGCTTCAGAGGCATGTCAATCCCTGAATGTCAGAAAGCACTTCCAGCTGCTGTTCCTGGTGGAGAGCCATTGCCTGAGGCTGTTCTCTGGCTTCTACTGACGGGAAAGGTATTCCACAGTTCTACTTGAGCTAATTGGAGTAATTGGTTCAGATTGTCTTACATAAAATACCATGCCCTTGTATAGGGTTTTCATATCATATTTGGGCTTGAGTTGGAACTTGACAATGATCTTTATTTCTTCATTATGTCCCAGATACCAAGCAAAGCACAAGTAGATTCATTATCCCAGGAATTGCGAAGTCGTGCGACTGTCCCAGGTTCACTTCCTCCTTGAAACAGTACTTAGTGATTGCAAGTTGTTTATCAGTTCAATCTTTAGACTTAAATGCATTGATTTAGTTGCTTTCTAGATCTTTTAGTTGATTTTTCATCCAGTTTCTTAACATAGATATAGCAGCACACAAATTGACCCAAAGCACATTGCCATGGATGCAGAATATGTCCTTCTTAAAGAATATGTATCTGCTTTCCCCTTGTTCAATTTTCTATTAGATTAACCAGAATAAATTTTGAAAATTTAGGTATAACGATGCATTGGCATGCTTTTATGGTTTGAGCTGGGGTCCCGTGTGTTGGGAGTCTCATTTCTGTTGTTGTTGTGCGCTGCCTCCATTTTTTTTTTTGGTTAAAATAACATGTATAGTTCTTGTTTGAGGAAATGCACATGTTTCTAAGTACAATGTAACATGCACAGCAACAACAACAAGCTTTATCCCACTAAGTGAGGTCGGTTACATGAATCGCACGATGCCATTGTGCTCTATCAACAACCAAGTCTTTAGATATGTTGTTGACCAAGGGGTCTCGTTCAATAACCTCATTAAGCATTCTTCCCAGTCTTCCTCTGACCCTTTCTACAAGACTCCACATTGTGTGATCTACCCTTTCTTTGCATATGCCCAAACCACCTCAAGCGATGTTTAACCATTTTCTCTTCGATAGGCATCATATCTACTCTTACTTTGATATTTTTATTTTGAATCTTATCTTTTCTTGTATGACCACATATCCATCTCAACATTTTCATTTCTCCTACCTCAACTCTATGCTCTTGTTTTCTCTTTGTTGCTTAATATTCACTACCGTACAACATAATTGGTTTTATAACAGTCTGATAAAATTTTCCCTTGAGTTTCTTAGGTTCCTTCTTATCGCAAATAACTCCAATAGCCTTCTTCCATTTTAACCAACCAGCTTGTATTTTATGAGAAACTTCTCCATCAATTTCATCATCCTCATGTACAATGGATTGTAGATGTTTGAACTTTGATAGTTGAGGAATAATTTGATCTCCAACTTCACCTCCAAATCACCATTGCCTTGCCTCCCTCCAAAATTACAATACATATATTCTTTTTTGTTTCTGCACAAGCAAAAAACTTTCGACTCCAAAGTCCTCTATAGCTCCAATTTAAAGTTAATCTCTTCTCTTGATTTAGCCATGAGAACTATGTCATCTGCGCAAAACATGTACTTAAGGGTTTTTTCTTGAATAAACTCAGTTAGAACGTCCAGAATAATATTAAACAAATAAGGACTCAAAAAAGATCCCTGATGTAAGCCAATCTTAATGGGAAAGTCTTTTGTCTCACCTCCAGGCTCGTAGTTAGCTTCTTATATATATCTTGTATGATTTTAATATAAGCAACTCGTATACTTTTCTTTTCCAAAACCTTCCAAAGTACTTCTCTTGGCCCGAGATTATAAGCTTTTTCCAAGTCAATAAAAACCACATCTAAATCCCTTCTTTCATTCCTATATCTTTCTATTAACCCCCTCAGTAAATAAATTGCTTCAGTTAATGGATCTTCCTGGCATAAATGCAAATTGGTTCTCCGAAATAGAAGTCTCCAACCTTCACCTATGTTCAATTACTTTTTCCCACAACTTCATCGTATGGCTCATAAGTTTTATCCTTCTATAGTTTACATAGTTTTGAATATCTCTTTTATTCTTGTAAATAGGAACTAAAGACTTTTTCCTCCATTCATCCAGCATATTCTTGGAGTATAAAATTTTATTAAAAAGCTTGGTTAGCCACAATTCACCTTCCTTGCCTAAACATTCCTAAATTTCAATAAGAATACCATCAGGTCCAACGACTTTACCATTGTCCGTTTTCTTGAGAGCTGCCTTAGCCTCTCCGATGCGGATCCTGCAGTAAAAAGTCAAAATCCGATCATCTTTGCTAATTAGCAAGTCCTCCAAATTCTGAGTCGCACATTCGCTTTCCTCATTAAACAACTTGTAAAAGTAAGACTCCCATTTATCTTTGGTATCTTCATGAGTAACTATAACTTTACCTTTTTTATCCTTTATACACTTCACTTGGTCTAAATCTCTCGTTTTCCTTTCTTTTTGCTTCGCAATCCTGTAAATATTTCTTTCCCCCGCCTTTGTTCCTAACTCCTTATAAAACTCCTCATATGCTTCAGAATGTACTTCACTCACTGCTCTCTTCGTCTCTTTTTCCGCCAAATGATACTTTTCCAGTTTTTCCGCAATATTGCACAAATGCATGGCCTTAAACAATCGCTTTTCGTTTACAATGTAACTGCACATGTAAACTTAAATATTATGGTATTCATGTTTTGCCGGCATGAAGATCCAAAAATGCTTGTATATTATTGACGGGACGAAATCACAGTATTTACCCAGTACATGTTAATCAGAGAAGCAATCTAAGGAGTTTTTTATTTTCATTTTTTTATTTTTTTATTTTTTAAAATGTATCATGTCTGCTGTTGAGGTCTGCTGTTCACTTATGTGTCACTTGTATGTTTCTCACGTGCCTAATTTTTCTCCCTATGGTCTTGGGTTACTATAACACTTTCTGCCAGTTTATTGATAAGAGTGGTAATAATACTTTAGGTCTTGACGTGACAAAATGGTAGGGACCAGGATTAGAAAATAACAAAACAGGAAAATAAAAAGGGAAAATTCTAGTAGAAAGAACTGCAAGTATCTCACAATACTCGCTAAAAGACCAAAGGAGAATCTCCAATGTGAATGAACTCTCTGAAAAATGTCTCATGTTATTCCTGAGGCTAATGAGCCTTTTTATAATGAATTACAGAGGGAGAATATGTTGATAATTCAAAGATAACAATCAGCAACTAAATCTGGAACTAACTCTAACGTTAAAGTGGGGTATCCCTCTTATTTCTCAACTGAAACTTGTTAACAGAAAATAATAATAAAAATATTGAAAAACAGCTATTCCATATCTGATTCTTCTCTGCCACGTTTACCCTTCCTTGAATAAGTCAACTTAAATCTGTTAGGTAGCGTATCACAAAAAGGCATTTAATGTGAATTTGTATTTTTCCTTGCAGACTATGCTTTTAAGGCTATTGATGCCCTGCCTGTTGAAGCTCATGCAATGACTCAGTTTGCTACTGGTGTCATGGCTCTTCAGGTTGAATAGCGTATTTCATTTTGAGTTATGTGAAAACTGAATTGCTTTTTCTTTCTGAGCTAATACATGTGTTGTTATGCGCTTGTATCGTAATATGACCTGCGGGATGAGACATTTGCAATATGCTAGTAAATAGTCTGTCTGTGTGAACAATAGACCTCTTGAGTATTGAATTTTATGATGTTTTTATTCAGGAAAATGGCGTATGCTTTATGTTGTACTTTGTATCCTAATATGTTTATAATAGTAATGAGCTATAAAAGGTAAACTTGGATCAGACAGGACTGCATATATTGGGAAATTGATATGCCTGAGATACCAATAATTATTTCTGTAAGGGCACAGAAATGACTTGCAATCGTTCATTCCATCTTCCAGATTCAGAGTGAATTTCAGAAGGCATATGAGAGTGGGATTGCCAAATCAAAGTGAGCTTCTGAATTTCTTTTTTCTTCTTCAAAACTTGTGATACCTTAAAAGTTACAGTAGCAGATATGTTGATATAGGTATTGGGAGCCAACTTATGAGGATTGCATGAATTTGATTGCTCGTGTGCCAGCAGTTGCCGCTTATGTTTATAGAAGGTATGTAAATCGTATAATCCTTATCATTGCTACTCAATTAAATTGCTTTGGGCAAGTTACGAGGTGATATTGATCAATGTGTTTACAGAACTTCTTCTACCTTTCTTATGATTGGATTAATCAACGTGTTCTTGAATTTCTTAAAGGAAATATAAGGATGGAAAATTCATACCAATGGATGATTCTTTGGATTATGGTGGAAACTACTCCCACATGTTGGGATTTGATGATCCAAAAATGCTCGAGTTTATGAGGCTGTATATCACCATCCATAGGTTTGTTTCTCCACTGGGATATACTGTGGTTATGATGTATTATAAAGTTTTGTTGAAATTACCGCCAAATGTTTTACTGCTTAACATTTTGGTTGAAACCGGATTGCAGTGACCATGAAGGAGGGAATGTTAGTGCTCATGCCGCCCACCTAGTAAGTCATCTTTGTTATTTATGTTCTTATTCTATTCTAATTCTGAAGCTTGTGCGATGATTTGACCTTTTAATAATTAATAAAGACTTTTTTTGTTGAAGCATCTGTTTCTTTCTTTTATTTAATTAACCTTAATGTTCAATCCAGGTTGGTAGTCCGCTTTCAGATCCTTACCTTGCATTTGCAGCTGCTCTGAATGGTTTAGCTGGCCCACTGCATGGCTTAGCCAATCAGGTTGCTCTTTTTATTTATATATCTTCTACTCTCTTTCTTTCACACGCACGTGTGTGCACTTGTGTGCATGCCTTTTTCTTTTGAATGTTTTTCATCTTCTGCTGTTTTGAAATGTCCTCTTCCTGTGTTTGGTTTTCATGAAAAGATAAGGAAGGAAAGGGAAAAGGAGAAACATTGCAGCAATCCTTGGTTTGGTACATGGAAATGGAGTGCCCAGAGTTACCCCATAGAATGCTTTTGAGCCAAAATTTGTTACATCATTACATCTAAGGAATGGCACTGAACATAGGGCGATGAAGTTGAAAAAGGCCATCTTGTCCTTAACCCATGCATCCCATAAGTTTCCTACTTTTTATGTATAGGGTCATTTTTTAATGTCATTATTAATTCTATTTCTTTATTTCTGCCATACCAAACATTATTTGGAAAAGTGTACCCTTTCTTCTTTTTTTTTTTTTTTCATGCATAGCGAAAATACTCTTGCATTCCCACTCCCTCTCCCATTCATTCCATTCCGATTTCCTTATGTCCATTGAAACATAACAAAAATCCAGTTAGTTTTTTTCCCCCCTACTGGAAAGTCTCTACTATTATTTTCTAGCCCCAGTTTTCTGCAGTATTGGCTTTATTTTGCTAGCTATTGCAGTACTATAATTGGTTAAGAATGTGAAAAGTCATGCGTATCTCACATTCTTGACTAATTTTCTGGAAGTGCAAAATCATGTATGTCTCCAATTAGTTTGCTTCCCACAGAAACTTAAAAATTAGGCGTCAGTTAGTGGTCCTTTTGTAAGGGGTGGTGCGTCGTCAAATTACAAAGTTAGAGAGCTCCTGATCTAATGACTTTTTACTCTCTTGTTCTAGATTTTCAGTGGATTACTTGTCCTCAATTTTTTTGTTTTGTTTTGTTTTGTTCTTTTTTCTTTTGGTTTTTTTTTTATCGCCTTTCTAGTCAGTAACTTCTATTTCTACGAAAACCTATTATTTCCTGTTTAATGAGACTTAAAAATTCTATAGAAGTAAGCATGAGCAATCATGCTTTATCTGTGCTTCAAGCCCGACAAAATTTTTCACAATGGGCCATTAATTATCAAAATATTCTGGGATATGAATTTAATTTTCTTTTTTCCCCCCCTTAAATGCATCTAGATTGTTATAGCGGTATCTATTTTAGTAGGAGCACGATGCTTAAACTTCATAGTCTTTGCTTTCCCAACTATAGAAGTAAACTAGTGCTTGTTCTGTTGTCTTGATTTATTTATTTATTTATTTTTTTAAAATCATATCAAGTTGAAAAATTATTATGATCATGGCTTGTCTCTGCTTCTGCTTATATGTTATTGATTTTGGTTACCTTATTCTTCACTTTTTTGGGGTTTCAGGAAGTTTTGCGTTGGATCAGACATGTTGTTCAGGAGTTTGGAACTCCGCACATAAGTACAGAACAATTGAAAGACTATGTTCATAAAACATTGAATAGTGGTCAGGTAATGTTGTGAGTCACATTCAACGAAGAATTTTTAAGTCTTTTTATTATTCTTCAAACGAATCTAGGATGCATGCTTTTCTGTGTGAACATACACTGTCCATGGCTGCGCACAAAACAAATCGAAGAGGAATTTCATTCAACTCTTTGACTTGTCTACAATAAAGGATTTGTTAGCTGATGGGCAGTAAGGCTCTTTGTCATATGCATCTGGAGCTATAAATTTTGTCTATCCCTGCCAATAAGAATTTCTCAAATAAAATTTTTCTTTAGAAAACGCTTGGCTACTTGATAGGGTTGACTCTTTTGCTCTTTGAATTTACAGGTTATACCTGGATATGGACATGGAGTCCTGCGCAAAACAGACCCAAGATACACATGCCAGAGGGAATTTGCATTGAAGCATCTGCCTGATGATCCACTGTTCCTGCTGGTTATACCACTTCTTTCCTAATTTGATTGTGTTAATTAGGGAGCGCCTTCTAAATGCAAAACTGAGGCTTATTTGCAAAAAATCTGCTTGATTTAAACTTTGCTTTGTGATTGCTGCAGGTATCCAAGCTGAAAGAGGTTGTGCCTCCCATTCTCACTCAGTTAGGCAAGGTAAAGTTATGTTTTTATTTTTGAATGAATGTAAAAAACTAAAAAAAAAATCCTATGGAAGATATCATCTTATTTTTCATTAAATGCAAAATCATTTGTGCATATTATGCATCTAGCCATCTACTTCCAGTTATGATAAATTTATGAATTGAATACATGCTTGGCTGCTCAACATTGACAGAATAATACTTGTTTGTAAGGTTAGCCGAAAACAGAACAGGCTTTGGACAACGCCTGAGGGAAGAAAGGACTCCTAGTTTAATCTGAGCTTTTATTGCATATTATATTATGGGATTTCAGGCCTTTATTGAGTTGTTTAGAATTGTTAGCACTGTCCCGTCAACGCAAAATCACTTTATATTTGGTCCTTGTGGTTCTTTTTACCTTAAAAAACTTAAGTTATGTGGCGCATGCTGCTTCGATTTTCATTTTTATTTTCTGTTCTTCATTTTGACATTAGATATCGAAATTCTACTGAGGAGTTCCTGGCTACCAGGCACAGGATATTCTTCTGATTGTTGACTTCATGTTTTCCAATGGTGCAGGTGAAGAATCCATGGCCTAATGTTGATGCTCACAGTGGTGTACTATTGAACTACTTTGGCTTAACTGAGGAGAGGTATGGTCTCACTAATATAAGATGTTCAGCTTGAGATATTTGTTATGATGCAATTAAGGATGATTATAATGCCCTTTAATCGTTTTGGACAGCTATTACACTGTTCTCTTTGGTGTCTCAAGGAGTTTTGGAATTGGTCCTCAGGTTGGTCATACTACTGTCAACTATTCTTGTCCCCAGATTGTTTTAGCCCTTAAATACTTCCAAAGATTGGTGATTGCACTAGTTAATCTCTACTAGTATATTACATGAACACATGTCAAATGTCAGAGATACCAAAAGGGTTAGCATGTGATGATTTTGCTATTTTTAGATATTTAATCATGCACTGATTAATTTTTGAGGAAAACTGAAGAAATATAACAACTTAGGGACCTAATTATCAATTTATTCTTTATTGGTGTCTTGAATTTCTTTTTAAAAAAAATGCTGTTTCTGTGTATTTCAGCTGATATGGGACCGCGCCCTTGGGATGCCACTTGAAAGGCCCAAAAGTGTTACATTGGAGAAACTTGAGGAATTATCTGGGAAAGCTTCATCATCCTGAAATATTAAACATTTTTTTCTGAAGATGGAATTTCTCACAGAAGATGGAGGTTGGTGTAAAATTGAAAAGTTGGTGCAAATTCATTGAGGGATTTTTTGTTTTTTGTCTGTTTAGTTGAGGTATCCAAAAGGTTTTGGATTTAGGTGAAAAGGGGATTTTCTTCCCCCCAACAGATTTAACTTCGAGGTAACATCAAATAAAGGAAATATTCCTGTTCTTGGTTTATTCACTTGTGTAAATGATTAATCGCCAGATTTCATTTGTAGCTTACTATTAAGTGGCCTATTTTATCTGTACATAATAGATGCAAAATACGGAAAATGGAAGTTAATAATAGATTATAAAAAAAACATATAAATAAACTATTCTCACTTGATTACCCCAAAAAAAAAAAAAAATTCTGTTCGAGGCCTTGAGCACAAAGTTACCTCTCTTTCAATGAGAAAATGAATAGTGGTTCATCATGTTAGTCTTTTGTGCCCTATTTCAGTTCAATTGATTTTACTGGGTCATACTTGGTTTTATTCTAAAAAATGTAGAATAAATACTACCAATGTACATACACACACATAAAAATAATATAACACATATAAATAATATAATATAAAAAAAACAAGGAGTTTTACTATTTACAAACTAGAGGGTATAGGTGATTCAAATCTTTCCGTATCCGTAACAACTGGATAGCATATATATGGAGAAAAATATTTTTTAAAAAAATATAATAACACAAGTAATTAGATTCAATATGATAATTTGATCTGCATCAGTTACGTAGAACCTAAATGATAGAATGAATGGCCTGGGTATAATTATAATTTATCACTTTCTTGTTAATTATATAATAAAAAATAAATGCATACTCTTCTGATCATGTTCATAAAACAGAGAGAGAATATATTTTTTGTTCCTGTTTATAAGAAACTGAGAGACATTTTTTATTTGGATGTATAATTTTACTCTTTATTTATTATTATGTTGCATTTATTTATATGAGATATAATACGTATTAAATAAGGGTAAAATTAAAAAGTTATTGAATTTTAAACAAAAGTTAATAAAATTTAAAAGAAATTTTATCTGTGTGAAATATGCTGGAAGTCATTTATAAATAAAACTAGTATTTGTGAGAATGCGGGGCTGCGTATAAATGAAAAAATAAAATTTCCCAATATATGGACGTCGTCGATATACTCATGATGTATCTTTTTTTTTTTGACCGGATACTCATGATGTATCTGAAACATAGGGAATCACTTTAATGTCGCACAGAAATGGAAGAATATGCCCATAATTTACCAATTATCACACACAAACAAACATGGCAGTTAAGAGGGCTTTATGCACAAATTTCGATGAATGACTTGTGAGGCTTCGATCGGACTTCAGAGCCTCGAAATGAAGGTTTGGCCAAAAAAAAAAAAAGAATCTTGGAAGTGAAAACTGAAAACAAACACTTCGAGTGAAACGGAAATGGCCTCGCTATCGGCTGCAAGACCAGCTAATGTAATGCTAGGGTTTCCTCCAAGAGCTTTAATTCCCACGATTGACGCCATTAAACTCTGTACCAGGGCTTCTTCAGTATCTTCCAGGCTCAGGTTCATGCATTTCTTAGTTCTCTTTCTGTTTTGCCTCTCTTGCTTGCTCGGGTAGATCTGTCTTCTGATTTCTCCATCCTCGTTCTTGGACTTTAATTTCAGGACCCCATTACTTTTTCTTCAGTGGTTTGTTTCAAAATCTGAACTTTCAGTTCATCCGCTAATGCATGTCACAGCTACACTTTGTAGACCAAGAGTTATCACTTGTCAGTTTAAATTTGCAATCTTAATTATGACTATCGTAACTGCCATCGTTGTTCTTCATGCTAAGCTATGTGAGGATATAGTAATTAGGAGACTGTAATATTTTTGCGGTTTACCCCATTATCCACGGATATAGTCACTTGGTCCAGCATACTTCTTGGAATCAAAGAGAAAATGAGAAGCAGTTGCATGTACAGGAAATTTGGGCTAATTGCTTATCCATAAATATCAGGAAAATACCAGACACTTGCGTTTCCATAATAAAAGTTTAAAACCGTTTCTATAACATTTTCAAAGATCTTCATGTAAGTGAAGAATAAAAGGAGAGAAAACATGAACAAGAAGGTCGCAGAACATGTATTATGGGAGCTTGGGAGTTGTTGTTATTGATTGAAGATCAAGAGATGGAGGTATTAAAAATTGGACAGTGCCATTTCTCTTAATTATAATGAGAAAACTCACTATCTTTGATTTACTGGGATTGAAGCTTGAGGTCATTACCTCACTGGCCTAGCCAGATTGGAACTTGAGCTTATGACCAAGAACTTTTAAGGAACACTATGCCTAAGTGTTCAAGCTGCGGACTATATATATAAATATATATATCTGTCGATGCTAAGCACTTGTGAGAGGCTATGGGATTTATAGCACTTGTTTTGCTTTATGATTGATGGCTGCAATAAGCTATCTTGTGTTTGAGGAAGAGCAAAATCAGGTGTTTGTTCTGTCTAAGTATGATCTTAACAAGCTTGCATTACATGGTTTTGGAATGAGTTGAAAAAAAAGAAAAATGATCTTCGCCCTTGTGTTCAAAACAAGATTCTTTAGTGAGTGCGATGTTGGTACATGTTACACATGGGAGCTCTTTGTTTGTATGAGGAATTTTGCATTGCGGTTCTGCTAAAAGTTGAGCACAGAATATTGGATTAGTCTTATGCCTCCATTAGTTGATAACCTGAAGATTTTAGAAGTTAACCAAGCAAATCCACTGTCCAGAGCTGAGTAGTTTTGTAATGGCGATGTTTGAGTACACTTCAAGACTAATATAACCCTCCTCAGAATATCACTAAAATCACACAGACCTCTCTTTTGTTTAAAAATTTACATGAACTTCCTTTGAAAACAAAGTGTAAATTACGCAGAATTCCACTTGAGTTTTGTTGGAATTACATTAAATCTACCTCCATTCTCAAAACATACACCAACCTCCCTTAAAAATTTAGTTTTACTTGTATTCATTTGGGTCTTGTTTTTTCCTAGGTTTGATGGTCTCACAAGATCACAAATAAGTCAGAGACATGTGAGGGTTTCTGCAACGAACTCTACATCTGGTTCTGGCAATGGAAAAACACCTAATGAAGAAGGTGAAAAGACAATTAACAGTTCGGAGGGACCCCCATTGCTTACAATTCTGGCTGGAGCCTTGGTATTTCTCTTCTTTTGTTGGCTTATCGGATCCACTGTAATGTGGCTTATCGGTCTGATTGTGAGTGTGGCTTCACCCAAATAGGGTTTCGTGTGTATCAAGCTTTCTTTGTAATTATCAGTTTCGTTAAAATTGTTGGACATGGCAAGAAATGTTTTTGATCCAATATGTGTTTAACGCTGACTGTAAAATTCTCTCTATATTGTGCGTAACTCATGGTGGAAGATTATAGTACTACAAAGATACTATATCCGTCCTTCTTTCATAAGATTCAATTTTTTAATTGGTTTCTCTTTTTTTATAAGATTTTTTTGAGGTTTGTCTAAATAATAATTGTATTTTTTTTATTTTTCCCACTTTGCCCTTAATTAATATACTTTCTCTCTTTTTTTTTTCCTCCCCTTCTCTTTCAACTTTTTTTTTTACTCATACCTAGCCACTTATAAAGAAGGGCATATTTCAAAAGAAAAATATATTTCTTACATATTTATTATTTTTAATTAATTTTAATAGTTTTTTTTAAACCAAGCAATATGTTTTTTTTTTGTCAGCGATATGATTATTTGGATTTTATAACAAGTGACAGAGCATAAACTAAAACTTTTCCACTCCATATAATGATAGGACATTATTCTGGAAAATCCTTAGCTCAAGATCTATGTAGATGGTAGTGAAAATTTTAATTTGGACTTTCGAGGAATTCTAGCAGGGAGAGAACTCGACCTTCCTCTGTAAATTGCACCATCACATCACAGTAGTATTCGACTTAGAACTGTGGAACCTCCTTAATCCTTATGAAAAAGCACAGCATGAGTCAACGCTGCCATATTGTAAATTATAATGCAAAAGGGGTAGCCTCTTTTTATTTTTTATTTGAAAAAGAACTTCGATATTAATATTTTAAATGAGATACTATAAATGCATGAGTTTTTGATAATAACATGACAAATATATACTTTAATTGAAAAATATAGGCCCGCCCACATAAATTGAAAAGAAATGTATGTTTATAGAGCAACATCCATGACAAATATATACTTTAATCAAATAATTATACACTTATCATTCAAATTAGCCATTTATTATTATTATTATATAGAAATGTTTCCATTTTTCCTAAAAAAATCTTCGAAAAGAGAATATTAAATGTGGAAGATATGGAGTAAGAAAAATTAAGAAATAAAGAAGTGTAATCAAGGAAAAAAAGTACTAAAGAAGGAGACAAAACTAATTCTTAAACTAATCCTATATTTAAAACCGAAAAAATCACATAACTACATATGATTCGTATGTTGTTCAATTTTAACATGAAATTTCAATCCTCGTCTTCCCAAATTGATTCCATATCAAGCGTCTGCCCTCGATTGTTCGTGTAATTTTGTTTCAACTTCATCCTTTCAAAACATAAAATAAACATTCTCCTCAAGATGAAAACTTGCATTCTGAGTGTTAAATGATACAAAAGTCAGGGATATTCAATTAATACTAGAATCATACCTGAATCAAAATATAGAACTGAATAATAAACAGCGCTATGAGACCATAACCATAAAAGCATTATTCTTTCACTAAAATGGCATACATAAAAGAAATTATTTATATATATAACTAAAAAAAAAAAAACTACTTAGAAGTTTCAGCATCGGTTGGTGTCTTGTCTCCTAAAGAAGTTGTAAAATTACGTCTTTCCTCGGAGGTAGCAGTTATAACTGGCATCCACACATCAGCTGTGCCACTCAAAAGTGATTGCACTTGTGGATCTGCAGCCATGGCTGATGATATCATCTCATCCACATCATCTATTTTTGCTGACAATTTATCCAACTGTTCAGCTATTGCCAACTACATATAGACAAGAATTGAAAATAGAAACCTAAAAATGTTAGTTTATTCAAAAGGAGAAAATAAATTAATCAAATCAAGAGCAGAAAAGCCTTATAAAGATTTTCTGTGCATTTGTTTGCTATCAAATTCATATAAACAGTTATAGAACTTCATCTTCCATCAAGCAATTATGGTAGACCCAAAATTACCTCATCAAGCGGCTGATTTGACTTTGAAGGAACTTTTGTGACCTCTAATCCTAGAGCTTCAATTTTTGAGCGGAGTTCAACCTCTTCTTCGTTCGTTAATGCTTCCACCTATACAGATTACCATGAAATGCTTAATTACCCTTCATGACTCCACAATATCTCTGCAGAAGTTTGACATCGAACTTTATGCAGCATGGACGCAAGGGATCATATCGTGAAGGTGAACCGATCAAGAGATGCTGAAGATGTATTATATTCATATGCAAACTTGATTCAAGATATAAACCACTAAACCTGAACCATAAGCTGCAATTTATATTGTCTTAAAAAAGTATGTTTTTAACACTAACAGGGGGGAAGAAGTCAAACTCAGAATAGAAAGCAGGGAATGCTGGATAATAATTACTTGAAATGCACCATTTTCAGGAAGTATTAACATTAACGAAGATTAGTAGCACATCCTGCAAAAGATTACATGCAGTTCATCGTTATGATGTTAAAAGACGTTCAAGATTTCATAGTTACAGTAAAAAATCTAGACTTCTATTTTTGTTGTCTTTTGTACAGCACCCGCAGTACTGCTCCTGAATTCACTTGTTCAAACCAAACTAGATTAACATAAATCAACTGCTTACTTCAAAACATTTGCCAATTGCCAATTTTAAGCAGACATGCCAACTTGAAAGCTTATTTGCTTTCTGTCCTATATCATAAATTTGTGAGATTTGAAAACATCAATGGCTGGTGAACAAAAGAACATGCAGATTATCCAACATTGGCTCCATACAATACCCTTGTTCATGGCATTAAGGATAGTCACCCGTTTTTATTTGTCTAACCATGTATGTTATCACTTGTATCTATCCTGCAAAACCGATACATATTACTACATCCATTATTACTATACATGTGTTTCTCCTCAAATAATTCACAGTTGTCGGCTACAAGGAAAGGAGTTGAAGATTTCACAATAGTATGGCTCAGGCACCATATTCCAAGAAATTACACAAGCATCGAAAATGGCTGTGAGCAACATCAGACGCATAATAGATCAATTCTGCTTACCCATGCTCAGAAGACAAATCTTAATCCGTACATAAGGAAATTGAATTTCACCACAAAGGAAATATAATAGCAATGTAAATACAATTCTGGCAATTCACCTGTATCCCTAAAACACCCGACAAAGTAGGCGCATAAAATAATAAATTATAAAAATAAACTCTTTCGCTACGATCACGAAACTATTCCTCTGCGGGTGTTTTATAAAGGATGTGACTTTGATATCCCGTGAAACGGGATGGCTTCATCACCAAGACGAAGACGAAAATAATTGCTTTTTCTCATACACAGGAATCGAAATCCATTAGCATACCACAAGTATAAGCTAGTAAATCGCCAATACGGAATCATATTTGGCGCACAGTGAATCAAAAGATTGGAACATCATACCTGCTGAACAAGAGTGGAAAGAAGCTGAAAGAGTTGGGCATCGGGTTTGCCTTCTTCGGCCATGGATTTAAATTCGGAATATGGAACGGAAGGGAATTGGGAGATCTTTATTCGGAGGGAAGCGCGTGGTTTCACGTCCCGCCTTCTCGGCTTGCTTCGGTTGTGGTAACGGAGGGGAGGACTCACAGGGGATGCGTAACGGTGTCAAACTGTTTAACATGATACGTTACACATCCAAACGGTGTCAAACCGTTAACCCAGACCCATGTTTTCATATCTACGCATGAGAGCCGGATGTGAGATTAACTTTTGAAAAATATATTTAAAAAAGTTAAAAATAAACAGATTTTGAATAGAACCTAATTTTGAAAAAAAAAAAAAGATTTTTATGAGAATAAATTATTAATTATTAAAATGGATATAAGTTAATGTAATAATTAAAATGGTACAAAGAAAGAACACAGGGGTGCGCATTGAACAGGTGTAGTTAGGTACTGTCATCATGTGAGTAAAAGCTGGATTAGGAAGGCATTTGAATTAATTTTTAGAAGTAATTTTGTAGGTTGAGGAGGTATTTAAAACCCTCATAATCACTTTAAACAAAAATACTTTTATGTAAATTGAGATAAAATTCTTCTCACATACTTACTTTTAAAACTAAACCATAGTTTTAAGCATCAGGATCACTTATAGGCTTAATGGGTGTTTGAATGTTTCTGAAATCGGGCTTTGTTTTTCTAATCCATTCAACATACCTAGGGCATTCTTAATTTATTTTAGGATTAATATTATTGGTTTTTTATTTTATACAATTAAACACATGTATATGCAAATATGTTAATGTCAGGCTTGAGTTTGAATTTCATCCAAACATAACAAATGGTACTATCACTAGATTAACATTATTGTTAGTCTTTACAATTTGATTGAACTTTGATTTTAATTCCTATAGTTTCAAATTATTAGTTTTAATCCCAATAGTTTTTTTAAGAATTTGTCTAAATTTAAGTATACAGATAAAAACCAAAATTCAGACTATTTGTTAGAGTCATGCCATGTCCATTAACTATTGGGATTAATTATAATCCGATCAAGGACAAACAATAATATTAAACTTCCATTTTTCTCCGTTTCACCCCAAATAAAAATTTAACATATATGGGCTATGAAGAGGAAATAAAGAGTGCCAGAGTTTAGCGAAGTGGCTCCTCTCCGCTGCCTTTTTCTCCACTGCCCCTCCGGTGCCATGCTACGGCGACGTTTGCAGCATTAAGAAGGGAGAAAAAGAAAATACAATTGAGCGGGTTTGGCAAATGGACAGTTACAGGCCAGGGAGGAGAGGGAATGCTACTTGGTCATACCAATTTGTGGGACCCATCTCCCTTCAAAATAATATTTCTCTGAGGCTTAATGTAAGACATAATTAACTAATTTAAGTAGATTGAAAATGTTAGTTAAATTAGTTAATATGATATATTTTTTTAAAAACATCCTAAGTATTTTTCTTAATTCCCTCTCTCCCTGTCTTACTTGATTGTTGTTGAAAAAATATTAATAGGATTAATTTGAGAAAAATTGATAACCATATAAAATAAGGCTTACATATTGAACTAACATGAACTCTTAAATTAGGTTTCATATCAAGGACCGAAGGAGTATTTATAAAAAAAATAATTAAATACCATTTTTTCCATTAATTGAACAAAGATATTAGAAAAAGAGAAAAATTGGCATTTATTTCAATAAATTGTTTTGATTGATAAAAATAAAAAATCTTATATTAATTATCTTTTAAG